ACACAAAGATATGGAGAAAAATATGTTCAGAGAGCAATGAAGTGTGTAGATGTAGTGACCCCATATTCCATAGATTCTAAGACCATCCCCCCCTATTTTAATATCTCTGAAATTGAGGTGCATCAGACTATGGCATGTCCTAAATGTAGTTGGTAGCTCTTTTTCTCTCTTAGGGGCTCAAAATAATGTTGTAGCTCATCTTTGATGGTGCCTTAGAGGTAATGAGACCTAGTGTACAAAATGCACCGGGCATGGTGCCTGCTATGTCACAAGCCCTCAGATTATTCTCATGATCTTCAGCATCACCAGCACATTCGAGGTTGGCCATGGCAGCTTTTTCTTCCTTTTTCTCGTTTTCTCCCTGACACCTGCTGACCTGCATTTGGTCCTGGGGTTGACGGGCACATGGCAAATGCAGTTAGGGAGAGGAGGACAGAGGGTTCAGGATAGGAAGAGAAAGGCTTTTTATAATATATTAAGATATTCAGAGAGGAGGAGCCATGGATTTTTTTGTTGTTGTTGTTAAAAAAAAAAAAATCCCTGCTGGAAGCCAGAGTTATATATATGCCAAACAGGCCAGGAAACCCAGCAGGCCTCCTGGAGCTGGCAATGAACCGAATCAGGGGCATTGTGTCCAGGCCACTGGCTGGCTGAGGGGGCATTGTTAGGGCCTGGCCCTGTCTGGGAAGAGGGGGCTGGAGGGGGCAGGGGGAGTGTGTTCCCATGACTCCCTGGGGAGTAACAACAATTGGGGCCAGCTGGGAAGCCCGCATGCCAGGGGCCCCAGGGCTATAGGGGGCTGAAGCAGCAAGGGGGGGCAAGGTCAGGGCTTCCCTTTCTCAGGTGGGGGGGTGAGGCCTAAGGAGGGGGAACACGGGGGTCATTCACTACACCCCTCTTCCTCACCGCCCCCAGCCCTGGGCCACAGAGTCTCTCCAAATTACACCCCATATGTGCCCACTTCGCTCTACCTCATAAGCCCACTCTGGTCCAAACAGCCATGTTCTCTCACACAGACCCCCGCATGGCTCCCTTACTGGATCCTTGCTGCCAGCCTGGCTCCCCTACACCCTTCTCCACTTGTAGTGAGAAGAATCCTTCCAAAATGTAAAGCACATCACATCCCTCCCGTGCTTAAACCTGCCAAAGGCTGCCCAGAACACTTAGAAGAAAACCCAAACTACTTACTCGGGCCCACAAAGCCTTCCTGATAGGCCCAGCCAGCTTCTTAGCCTCCATTTCCAGCCCTCCAGCACACCCCCACCATTCTGTCCCAGCCACACAGGCCTCCTGCCAGGCCCTGGAATGCTTTCAGCTGGTTCCCTCTGCACACTTTGCAGATCCTGTGCTGGAAACACCCTTCCTCTGTATCTTTGCATGGCTCTCTCCTCTTCATGGGTCTCAGGGAGGCCTTTCCTGGAAAATAGACCCTCTTGTTCTCTCCCCTTCCAAGTCATTCTATTACAGTGCCCTGTACTACTGACTTCAGAGAACCCGCTATTCTCCAAAATTATCTTATTTTTGTATTCATGTGTCAGCCTTCCCAGGCTGGACTGTAAGTCTCTGGTGGGCAGGACCCGACTCTTTCATTGCTGGGTCCTAGCGCCCGATATCACTGGTTGCTTGGTACTTCGTAAGGACTCAGCCAATATCAGCCAGTATTTTTATTATTCCTGTGATCAGGGCATGACAGCTGCCATGTGGTCAGGCTGGGAAGGTCAGTCTCAAGCAAGTTCTGAATCTGTGATCCATGAACCCAAGTTCCAGGAACTTAGACAGAAAAAAAAAATTACACCTATATATTCACCAGCTTCTGACTACAATGTAACATCTACTTGCACTTCAGGCAGGCACTAGACCAGAGGCCTATTAACAGCAACAGAAACCACAGCTACTTCCATGCCCTGTCACAGCTGTTGCAGGGTCTTGAGATATGTTTATGTCTAGGGCACCTGTGGAATCATGACACTTTTAGACCTGCCAATATTTATTTAGCATGTAAAAAAAAAGTATAATATTTATAATTATCTCAAGTCAATATAATTCTTGTCTTTGTAATCCTATGTTTGTTTGTTTGTTTGTTTGTTTAGAGATTGGGCACCCTTGAGCAGTGGAGGGGGGGGGAGAGGGGCAGAGGGAGAGAATCTTAAGCAGATTCAATGCACAAGATGTGGGGCTTGATCTCATGACCTGAGCTGAGATCAAGTGTCAGACACTTAACCAACTGAGCCACCCAGGGGCCCCCTATGTATTTTATTACTGAGTTTTAAAAACAGCATTTTGAGAGGGGTCCATAGCTTTCACCAGATGCCAAAGGGGTTCATGACACAGACTAAAAAGACCACCTAAAAAGGAGAGTCTTAAAAGAGCCGATGTGGTCTGGCCCTGGTCCTTCTGTCAGCAGACACCAAGCACACAGGGAGAGCCTGAAGAAGCCTGGAAAAGCAATGAGAACATGGTTTCCGACAGAGACCCTGTGACCTACATTTCCATTTTGCTTGGTTTCCTGTCTTGTTTATGAAATCGTGACATCTACAAAGCTCTGGGTGCAGAGTCCTGGTACAGAAAGCAGGGAGCCCTCGGTTAGGAAGCCCTCTCTGAAAACAATGCTCAGAAGAGAGTCCAGCTTTCTCTCCATCCCCCAGCTGGGCCCATGCAGCCTGCAGCTCACATGAGCAAGTCCTACAGGAGACCCTCTGGTTACAATGAAACCCCTCTCACCTGAAATACTCTTTAGGGCTGAAGTAAGACACACTCTCTCCCTATCCATTTGGAACATGACAAGGGAAGGAAAAAAAATAACGTTTCGTTTTATAAATACCCCCTAATTCGTTAAAGAAAGCAACTCATCTGGAGCCACAGATTGTGGTGATGTGGGGTACACTCTGGGAGGTGGAGTTGCTGCACAATGTTCTGGTTTAGCAGGGCATCACGTTCAAAGCCTGATTCTTATGAACCCAAGTGAACAATGGAGAAAAAAATGTCATCTCCAGGATTCTTTCTGGGGCCTGAGATGGGAAAGGCAGGAGCAGGGAGCATCACAGGAGGCAGTTTCTTGGCATCTCTACCTGTCAATCATTGCTATCACATGGGCTCACTGAATAATCTCTAATTTGGGAGTGGAGCAGCAGAAGGTCCCCAAATTAACCTCACTTTTGTCCTTTCCATTTCACTTGGAGCTCCATGGGCCTGAATGTCTGGGGTCATCGACAGTAAGGCTCCAGATATCTAGAGCAGTTCATCTCACACACTGATGGTAGTAAGAACCTGACTGAGATATTCGAGTCAGGGGTGGAGCTGCGGTGGGAGCCAGCTCAAAGAAAGGACTCACTTTCATTTTAGACTACTGACTGAAGAGAAACTGAACATGCAGAGGGCAAGGAAGAAATGCCAAAGACTAGTTGAGATGACAATGCAATGTAAACACTTCTCAGAAGACAGGAGCACCTGGCTGGCTCAGTCGGTGGAACATGTAACTCTTGATCTTGGGGTTGTGAGTTTGAGCCCCACATTGGGTGTAGAGATTACTAAAAACTAAAGTCTTTAGGGGCCCCTGGGTGGTGTAGTTTGGTTAAGTGCCCAACTCTTGATTTCAGCTAGGGTAGTGATCTCAGGGGTGTGGGATGAAGTCACATATTGGGCTCTATACTCAGTAGGGAGTAGGCTTCAGATTTTCTTTGCCCCTCCCCCACTTGCATTCTTTATCTCATAAATAAATAAATAAATCTTAACCGAAAATCTTTAAGGCTGCCTGGGTGACTTAGCCAGTTAGGTATCTTTTTTTTTCTTTTTAAGATTTTATTTATTTATTCATGAAAGACATGGAGAAAGAGAGAGGCAGAGACATAGGCAGAGGGGGATCCCTGGGTGGCGCAGCGGTTTGGCGCCTGCCTTTGGCCCGGGGTGCGATCCTGGAGACCCGGGATCGAATCCCACATCGGGCTCCTGGTGCATGGAGCCTGCTTCTCCCTCTGCCTGTGTCTCTGCCTCTCTCTCTGTGACTATCATAAATAAATAAAAATCTAAAAAAAAAAAAAAAAAAAAAAAAACAGACATAGGCAGAGGGAGAAGCAGGCTCCATGCAGGGAGCCCGATGTGGGACTCGATCCTGGGTCTCCAGGATCATGCCCTGAGCTGAAGGCAGACGCTCAGCCACTGAGCCACTCAGGTGTCCTGGCATCTGACTCTTGATTTCAGTTCAGGTCTTGATTTCAGGGTTGTGAGTTTTATAAGAAAAAAAAAAAGTAAAATAAAGATAGGTGGCTGTGCACAGAATATCTCAGAAAGGCTGCACTAGAAAGTGCTGATAATGAGTGCCCCTGGTAAAAGAGGGAGTTTGGGGGTGGAGCTTGGATGTAGGAGGAAGCCTGACTTTTTCTTGTGATACACCTTTTGTACTATGTAAGTTCTGTACTGTACAGGAGGTATTGATTAAAAATTATTTTTTGCAGTCTTGAATGTCAGAAGACTTCATAGGAATGTGGCAGGTGCTAAGTAAACACGTAAACCATTGTACTATTTCAGGACCTAGCATTTATAGAGTGCCTACTGTGTGCCAAGGGCCCTTTGGCAACACCCGTTTTACAGATCTTAGGAAATGGAAGCTCAGCTAGGAAGGAGCCAAGTGGGGACTCCTCCCAGGTCTGCTGGAAGCCAGAGCTCTGCTCCTCAGCAAGGACCACACAGCCTTGCTCCCTGGAGTGAGCAGTTGGAGGCACCAGATGCTCTGGCAGGATCCAGAGAGATGCCATCTGTGAGGGAAACCTATTCTTAGAGAGCAGAGACAGTCGGTGGTGCAGCCCCCCGCAGCAGTGGGGGACACTGGGCAGGCAGAGAGCCAAGGCTCTACCTTCAGCTGAGAAAGAGGAGAGGCTAAAAGCAGGGGCTACTCAGTTCTTAGGACCACCCTTCCTCCTATGTTTGGATGCTATATTAGAAATAACAGCAAACATTTATTGAGTGCTTACTTTATACTCATCACATTGTTTAATCCACCAGACCATCCTGTGAAGTGAGTGATATTAGCATGCCTATTTTATAGATGAAGAAACAGGGGTACAGAATGGTTAAGTCACTTGCCCGAGTGAACAAGGCTGAGCTCAGGCACACCTGCTCCAAAGCCTATGTCCATAACCCCCACCTACTCTCAGCTTGCTGCACCAGAGGCCAATTTTAGTTTGAGTTTCCTCAATAACAGACCCCAAGACAAGGATTTCAGTACAAGTGGTTTATTTGGGAAGTGGTCCCATGTTAGGGGCATGAGCAAGACAGGGAAGGGGGGCTAGTTATCAAGCAAGTGACCATTGCAGGCAGCCATAGTTCATTCCTGCTGGGGAACTCTGTGAGCCAGTGTGGAGCACGCACCTCAGAGTTATCGGATGTGTTAATCCTCCAGACCTGCTGTGGGTGCCAGAGCAGGTGCCAGTGGCAAGCGAGAGCCCTCAGGCAGAAAGATATAGTAGTGGCAGTTGGAAAAGTTGGCTGGTGTGCAGCAAAGCAGTAAGCTAGAGGGGATTGGGTGGAGCACCTCCAGCATCTGCTTGCTGATGGCCACCTCCTTCCTCCCCAGGACCTTGGGATTCTCCAAGCATGCAGCACAACATAATGGCTGAGAACACTGCTGTTAGAATCAGACATAATCCCATCGTGATGACCTAACAGGTCTGTGACTCAGTTTCCTCATTTGTAACGGGATGACAGTTGGCTGCATATCATTCCCTACTACCTTGTTACTCCAGGTATGGCTCAAACCGGCAGCACCAACAGCCTGTGAGAAACACAGAATCTCTGGCCCCACTCCAAACTCACTAAGTCAGAATCTACACTTTAATAAGAACACCAGTGACTCATGTGCACATTTCTACTAGTACTTTCTAAAAAGAGACTGAAGTATTCCTACTAGACCAAATTGGTGGGCCATGGACCAAATCTTCCTGGAGACCTGTTTGATTTGTCCGGCGCAGTGATCTTAAAAATCAGACTGGCACGTGAGTCTCCAGTTCCCCATGCTGCCATCACTTCCTAATGCACTGCATTTTCTTTTCTTTTAAGATTTTATTTATTCATGAGAGACACAGAGAGAGAGAACAGCAGAGAGGGAACAGGCTCCATGCAAGGAGCCCAACCTGGGACTTGATCCAGGACCCCAGGATCATGCCCTGGGTGGAAGGCAGGCGCTAAACCACTGAGCCACCCAGGGATCCCCTGCACAGCATTTTCATTTATGGACCTTGCCAGACCCCTCTGGGCATCTGAGTTTGCAGCCTCCTCTGAAACTCATCCTATAACCAGCTAATATTTGCATAGCATAGCTTAGGTTTCTAAATTTAACATAAGGCACTGGAAAAAAAAAAAAGGGTTTTGAACCCAGACAGCTCTGGGTTTAAACCCTGATTTGGCTATCATAATGGTTGTATTATCTTGGGCAAGTTACTTCCCGCCTCTGACCCTCAGTGTCCACATCTGTGAAATGAGGATCAAAATACCTAACTGCGAGGTCATTGTATGGGTTGAAAATATCTGCAAAGCACCTGGGGGGGAAGTAGGAGCTCACTAAATTGAAGTAATTAGTAGTAGCAGCTCTTATAATTATACAAGTCCAATGTGGACACTGGATGTGTATTAGGATTATCCTCATTTTACACGAAACTAAGGCTCTGAGAGGTTAAAAATCTTCCCCAAGGTCACACAGTAGTGGAGTGAGGACTCAAACTCATACCCCCTAGCTCTATATCTGCACTGTCCACTAGAATTTTCTGCAAGGATGAATGTGTTCCATATCTGTGTTATCCAATATGGTAGCCACTAGCCACACATGGCTACAGAGCACTTGAGATATGGCTGGTTCCAATTGAGACACACTCTAAGTATATACCACATGCCTGATTCTGAAGACTCAGTACAAGAACAAAGGATATAAAATATCTCTAATTTTTATATTAATTTTTATGTTAAAATAATATTTTAGAAATCCTGGGTTAAAATATATAAGTAAGATTAATCTCACCTGCTTCCTTCTGCTTTTTTTTTCACGTGGCTACTAAGGAAAATTTCGATTACATATATGGATCACGCTATGCTTCCATTAGACAGTGGAATCCTAGAGTGTCTCTAATAGAACACCACCTGAGCCGAGGAATTTAATATTTTCTAAAAACATACTTGCAACCTTCTGCCCACAAGCAAGGAGCCCTGTTCCATAGAATGGTCGAAGACCGTACCCACCAGAAAGAGACTTCAGGGCCCTCCTCTGAGCTCGATGACCCCTGACACCCAGAGGGGGTGGTTTTCCCTGGTCTCACAGTAGCCAGCAACACAGCTAGAATCACGTCCAAGGCTCCATAGCCCTATTCACCATTCAAGAGTACCTAATGGGATGTGGAAATCAGTGCTTTTGCTTCAGCAAATGGAACCCTGGGACAATATAAGTTGGAGTCCAAGAATCGTGATCTTGAGAAGGAAGGATCCTTTGGGATGATTCACCGATGGAGCCAATCTCGAGTGAAGAAGCCCCCATCAGCACCTTAGGGCCATGTTATTTTGAGGGGAGGCTCTTGTTGTAGAGGAGGAAATCTGAGATGTCATGCCATACATTGCTATCCTGGTACAGGTATGTCATGGAGGACTGCAGTGAGGGCTGCAGAGTGGGCCGATGGTACTCAAAGAGCCACAGCACCAGCCCCCACACGACTGCGGTGAACAGACGGAATAGGTCCCACCTGGGTTCAGGAATGTAGCCCTTCTCCATGCCCAGGCGGCATAGAGCAAACAGGACTCGTGAGAGCAGGTACATGTTGATCTGCAGGGAGGGAATGACAGAGGATTATGGGAGGGCACAGCCACTGGGAACCTTCTGCCCAACCCCTGGAGGTACTGGAGCATCTACTGCACACTGGGTCAGTGTCTTTCTTTTCTTTCTTTCTTTCTTTCTTTCTTTCTTTCTTTCTTTCTTTCTTTCTTTCTTTTTCTTTCTTTCTTTCTTCTTTCTTTCCTTTCTTCCTTCCTTCCTTTTTTCTTTCTTCTTTCCTTCCTTCCTTCCTTCCTTCCTCCCTCCCTCCCTCCCTCCCTCCCTCCCTCCCTCCCTCCCTCCCTCCCTCTCTTTTTAGTTTATTTATTTATTTTAGTAATCTTTACACCCAATGTAGAACTCAAACCCATGGCTCCAAGCTCAGGAGTCTCATGTTCTTCCAACTAAGCCAGCCAGGAACTCCTAGATCAGTGTTTTTCAAAGCTAGTATGCAAGAAGATTTGAAGTGGTAGGTAGTAGGTATTTTAAAGATTTTTTAATTTATTCATTTGAAGGAGAGAGAGAGAGGGAAAGAGAGAGAAAGAGAGAGAGAGAAAGAGAGAGAGAGAGAGAGAAGGGGGAGTGGAGAGGCAAAGAGAGGAAAGAATCTTAAGCAGGCTCCATGCCCAGCGCAGAGTGTGACACCAAGGCTTAATCTCAAGACCCTGAGATTGTGACCTGAGGCAAAATCAAGAGTCAGATGCTCAACCAACTGAGCCACCCAGGCACCCCTGTAGTAGATATTTTATAATGTTGCTATTTATTTCTATAATTATCATTCTTGTTCATTAAAATGTTTAGAAAATGAATATATTTACATGGTTCAAAACTGAAAGGTAGGGGCACCTAGTGGCTTCAGTGGTTGAGCATCTGCTTTTGGCTCAGGTCGTGATCCTGGGGTCCTGGGATCGAGTCCCCCATCGGGTTCCTTGCATGGAGCTTGCCTCTTCCTCTGCCTGTGTCTCTGCCTCTCTCTGTGTCTCTCATGAATAAATAAATAAAATTTTTAAAAAAAGCAAAGCAAAACAAACAAACAAAAAAAAACTGAAAGGTAACCAGACACCAAAAACCACGATCTACAAAAAAAAAATTTATTTTATTTTATTTTATTTTTTTTCAAAAAAAAATTTTAAATTGACAAATTGGGGATCTCTGGGTGGCTCAGTGGTTTAGCACCTGCCTTTGGCCCAGGGCCCGATCCTGGAGAACTGGGATCGAGTCCCACGTCGGGCTCCCTGCATGGAGCCTGCTTCTCCCTCTGTCTGTGTCTATGCCTCGCTCTCTCTCTATGTCTATCATGAATAAGTAAACTTAAAAAAAATAAAAATAAAAATAAATAAAATTGATAAATTGGATCTCATCAAAATTTAAAATTGTTTGGTTGTGAAAGCCCATATGAAAAGGCTAAAAAGAGGGATCCCTGGATGGCATAGCGGTTTGGCACCTGCCTTTGGCCCAGGGCGTGATCCTGGAGACCCGGGATCGAATCCCACATCGGGCTCTCGGTGCATGGAGCCTGCTTCTCCCTCTGCCTGTGTCTCTGCCTCTCTTTCTTTCTTTCTCTCTCTCTCTCTCTCTCTATCATAAATAAATAAAAAAAATTTTAAAAAAATTAAAAAAAACATTCCATTTGGTTTAAAAAAAAAGAAAAGGCTGAAAAGAAAAGCTGCAGCTGGGAGAAAATATTTACAAACACATATCTGACAAAAACTAGTATCTGGAATATATTTAAAAAAAACTCTCAAAACTCAATGGTAAAAAAAGAAACAATCCAATTAGAAAATGAGCAAAAGATGCAAACAGATGTTTGAACTGGTTCCACAGATGGAAAATAAACACATGTAAAGATGTTCCCTAATGTTTAGCCATTAGGGAAATGCAAATTAAAACCACAATGAGAAGCACTACACACCTATCAAAATGGCTAAAAAAAATGTGATAAACCAAATGCTGGTTAGGATGTGGAGGAAATGGATCATTTGTATATTCCTGATGGAAATGTAAAATAGTACAGTCACTCTGGAAAATACATTGGCAGTTTCTTAAAAAATTAAACATGCAGGGGGATCCCTGGGTGGCTCAGCGGTTTAGTGCCTGCCTTTGGCCCAGGGCGCGATCCTGGAGTCCCGGGATCGAGTCCCACGTCGGGCTCCTGGCACAGAGCCTGCTTCTCCCTCTGCCTGTGTCTCTGCCTCTCTCTCTCTCTCTCTCTCTCTCTCTCTCTGTGTCTATCATGAATGAATGAATTAATTAATTAATTAAACATGCAGGGATGCCTGGGTGGCTCAGTGGTTAAGCATTTGCCTTTGGCTCAGGGCATGATCCTAGGGTCCAGGATTGAGCCCCATATCCGGCTCCTTGCAGGAAGCCTGCTGCTCCCTCTTCCTGTGTCTCTCATGAATAAAGAAGTAAAATCTTAAAAAAAAAAAAACATGCACGGAGGGTGCCTGGCTGGCTCAGTAGGTAGAATGTGCAACTCTTGATCTCAGAGTTCTGAGTTTGAGCCTCACATTGGGTATAGAGATTATGTAAAGATAAAAATCTTAAACAAAATTAAACATGTATGTATCATATGACCCAGCAATTGCACCCTTGGGCATTTATTCCAGAGTAACAAAAACCTATGGTCACCCTAAAACTTGTACAAGAATCTTCTTAGCTGTATTTCTAATAGCCAAAAGCTGGAAACAACCCAGTTGTCCTTCAGTAAGTGAAGGTTTTACCAAAGAGTGGTGCATCCCTCCCCTGGAATGATCTATGGATACACACACACAACCTGGATGAATCTCGAGGGAATTATGCTGTGTGCAAGAAGCCAGTTCCCAAAGGTTACATACTGTAATGACTCTACTTATATAACATTTTTGAAATGACAAAATTTTAGAAATGGAGGTCAGAGTAGTTGTTGCCAGGGGTCAGGGAAAGGAAGGAAGAGAGAGGGAGATGGTATGACCAGGATTCCTAGCCCTTGGAAGTTCTTAGCCCAGGGCTCACTTGCTTGCTAGCTTTCTTCCTTTCTCCTTCTTTTTTTTTTTTTTAAGATAGATTTATTTATTTATTTATTTATTTATTTATTTATTTATTTATTTATTTATTTATTTATGTATTTATTTATTTAATTTGACAGAGAGAAAAAGCATAAGTAGGCAGAGTGGCAGGCAGAGGGAGAGAGAGAAGCAGACTCCCGGCTGAGCAAGGAGCCCAATGTGGGGCTTGATCCCAAGATCCTGGGATCACAACCTGAGGTGAAGGCAGATGCTCAACCGACTGAGCCACCCAGGTGCCACTCCAACCAGTGACATTTTTAACAAAAAAGCAAACCTCGGGAAACTCAAAATACAAATTCTCCTATCTATAGATCCCACAGTTCTGTGGTAAGTAAATTTCAGATGTATTGACACGCGTAAGGAGATGTCTGAATGAAGATGTAGGCTAGTGTGTGTGTCCTGGCAAAAGGCTAGAGAGCCCCTAGATAGTGTCCACCTAGAGACTGGGGAAATCAAGACTGGTCCACCCACCCAACAGAGAGCTCTGCTCATGTTAAAAAGAAGGACAGATCGAAAGAAGGGTCTCGCAGACACATTATTCTGTGAAGAAAAAGAATAGTGTGATCTCATTGGTAGAAAACTCCTGGCATGTACAGACACAAGCACAGACAATTTCTGAAGGGCCACACAAGACACAGTTAAAGTGTTCCTGGACAGTGGCTTGACAATTGGAGGGGGATGGTAACGATCTTTTTAATATACTTTCTAATTTTATTGTGACCTACCCCCAAGCACTAGAAGCATGCCAGGCACACAGGGGGTGCTTAGTCTGTTTTTTTTTTTTTTTAAGATTTTATTTATTTATTCATGAGACACACACACACACACACACACACACACACAGAGGCAGAGACCCAGGCAGAGGGAGAAGCAGGCTCCATGCAGGGAGCCCGATGTGGGACTTGGTCCCGGGTCTCCAGGATCATGCCCTGGGCTGAAGGCAGGCGCTAAACTGCTGAGCCACCCCGGCATCCCAGTCTGCATTTTTTTAAATGTGAAAATGAAACATGATTCTTAGAATTTGAAAGTATTTCTAAATTTGAGGGAGGCAAAGAGAGGGGCTGCCAACTTTTCATGTCACCCAAGAAAAACTTTAAAACAAGTGTTTCATTTCACAAAAAAAAAAAGGGATTTTAACCCAGAAAACTGTCAGGATACAGAATAAGAGACCATCCTTTGAGTGCAATAAGTTTTGTTTTATGAAATTGTTACTCCAGAGTCATCTTTTTTTTTTTTTAAGTAAGCTTTATGCCTAACATGGGACTTGAACTCATGACTCTGAGATCAAGAGTCATATGCTCTACTGACTGAGCCAGCCACCCAAGTGCCCCCAGAGCCATTTTTTTTTCTTATTTCACTGCACAGTGTCTTTGTTTTTTAATCTTTGCTCCAGTGCTCACTTCAGCAGCATGTAGACTAAAATTGCAATGATACAGAGAAGATTAATATGGCCCTTGAGCAAGGATGACACAGAAATTCATGAAGCATTCCATATTTAAAAAAAAAAATCTTTGCTCCAGAGAACACCACATATATTGACTTGGGGAACCATGAATTTCAACAAGCTGTTTGGTTTACAGATGGTGAAACAGAGAGAAAGTGATCTTCCCAAGGTCACACAGGGACTGCTGGATCAAAGATCCTCAGATATGGAAGGGAGGAAAGAGCTCATCTTCTTTGACATTCACCCAAATTTTATACCTGGACCATGTGCCTCCCCACCCAGCCCCCTAAGCCCTGAGCCCTATCCTGGGGAAGGGTCTTTACCTGGCTGTTGATGTTATTGTTATCTCCAAACACCAGCAAGCTCCCGATGAAGGCAGCCAGGAACGAGTGCACCTGGTAGGTGTTGCCCTGCACATGGGACTGCAGGGCGCAGAGCCCCTTATAGGTGAACACAAAGCAGGCCAGGTTCCGGGAGTGAGTGTACGTGGTTTGCAGGATGGCCCACAGCTTGTCCTGGAAGCTGCACAAATACAGGGGGCCCCCATGAGCACAGACCCAACTGTTCCAGGGGCATTCACCCATTGGGCATGCAAACGTGAACCAGCAAAGAGCTCAGGCCGGGACTCACCCACCCCAGGCCTCTAGCCTCCATGTCCTCAGGGCTTATCCCCAACCAGATTTAGGCCTCGATTCCATGCCACTTCCTCAGAGAGGGCTTCCCTGACCATTCTGTCCCTTTCTCCTACTTTTCCTTCACAGCTCTTATACCAGCTGACATTAATATGCTTAATCCCTTCCCACTCCCACCCTACCCCAGTGTAAGCTACCAGAGAGTGGTGTCTATACCTGGCTTGTTGATCCCCAGGGCCCAGAACAGGGCCTGGCACATAGAAGGTGCTCAGTAAATGGGTTTTCTTTTTTGGCATGAGCAGGTGAAGACATGAATGAAGGAGTAAGGGAGAGCCTACTATGTACTGGAACTGGGGGTATGATTCTGAGGAAAAATGCTTGCTGCCTTCATAGGGTATGTGATCTAATGGGAGAGAAAAACATAAATAATCAGAGAAAAAAAAAATCACAGAGCAAGGGTCAAACTTGGACCTTGACCAGAGATGACCCTGGGATCTGAAGGATGAGGAGTCAATGAGGTCGAGAGGGGGAAAGGGACTGCATACCAGGCAGAGGGATCAGCAGGTACAAAGGTCCAGAGGAGAGACAGAGAGTGGGGAGTAAGGGGACAGAGAGAAACCATCAAGCCTAAGCAGAGAATGTGGGGAGAGTGGGGCCATGCTGTTTTGTCTTTATCCTGAGAAAAGTGCACTTTTTAAATTGGGAAAGGATTCTATTTATCCTTTAAAATTAAGTCACTAGGGGGAATTAGGAGAACACAGGGGAAGGGCAACGTGTACTCTGGGAGGTCAATTCAAGGATGATGCAACCAAGTGCTCTCAAGGATAGATGAGAACATTGAGGTGGGTCTATGTGGAAGTCTGCCAGGTGAGTGGAGACAGCCAAGAGTCAGATGGTTCTTGCCTCAGAGGAACATGTGCCCAGTGTTGCCAGTTTTCTTTTTTTTCTTAATCTCTCTTTTTTTTAAATAAACATTATGCCCAACCTGGGGCTCAAACTCAAAACCCCAAGATCAAGAGTCACATGCTGTACTGACTGACCCAGCCACATGCCTCTACTGTTGCCAGTTCTAATGAAAGAAAACTGGATTTCCCAGTTATTAAGTGTTGGTGCTAATCTTGCCTTCAAAATGTTTCTAGAGGGCACCTGGGTGGCTCAGTTGGTTAAATATCAGCCTTTGTCTCAGGTCAGGCTTTCATGATCTCAAGTTACTGCATCCTGGAATCCAGCTCTGCGTTGGGCTCCCGCCTCAGTGAGGAGCCTCCTTCTCCCTCTGCCCCTCCTCCTGCTCCTGCTCTCTGTCAAATAAATGAATAATAAAAAAAAAATATTAAGGGACACCTGGGTGGCTCAGCAGTTGAGCGTCTGCCTTCGGCTCAGGGCGTGATCTCGGGGTCCAAAGATTGAGTCCCACATCGTGCTCTCTGCAAATCTTTTTTATTTTTTATTTTTTTTAAAGGTTTTTATTTATTTATTCATGAGAGACACAGAGAATAGAGAGAAAGACAGACAGGCAGGCAGGCAGAGGGAGAAGCAGGCTCCATGCAGGGAGCCCGATGCAGGACTCGATCCCGGGTCTCCAGGATCATGCCCTGGGCTGAAGGCAGCACTAAACCGCTGAGCCACCTGGGCTACCCTAAAAATCCTTTTAAAAAAAATCTTAGGGGATCCCTGGGTGGCTCAGTGGTTTAGCACCTGCCTTCAGCCCGGGTTGTGATCCTGCATTGGGCTCCCTGCACAGAGCCTGCCTCTCTCTCTCTCTGTGTGCCTCTCATGAATAAATACATAAAATCTTTAAAAAAAAAAAAAGTGTTTCTAGAATTTTTTTTTTTCTAGAATCTGATCACTTCTCACCTAACTGCCACCACCAATGCCTGAGGAACCAGCATTGCTCACCTTGATCATTGCCTGTTTTGTTTACTGTTCTATCCTTAGTACATAGAACAGTGTCTGGCACATAGCAGATGTTCAATAAATATTTACCATTTGAATGAATGAGTTCAATTTTAAGAAAATGGAGGGTAGGGATGCCTGGGTGGCTCAGTGGTTGAGTGTCTGCCTTTGGCTAAGGGCGTGATCCTGGAGTCCCGGGATCGAGTCCTGCATTGGGCTTCCTGCATGGAGCCTGCTTCTCCCTCTGCCTGTGTCTCTGCCTCTCTCTGTCTCTCATGAATAAATAAATAAAATCTTAAAAAAAAATGGAGGGTAAAAAACAAAAATCAATGAATCAGGGGCACGTAGGTGGCTCAAGTGGTTGAGTGGTGTATCCCTTTGGCTCAGGTCTAAATCCCGGGGTTCTAGGATCAAGTCCTGCATCAGGCACCTTGCAGGGAGCCTGCTTCTCCCTCTGCCTATGTCTCTGCCTTTCTTTGTGTCTCTTATGAATAAATAAATAAAATATTTAAAAAGAAAATCAATGAGTCAATAAAAGCAAAAATACAAAAGCAGGGCCGAATTCCAGCCCCATGTTGGGTGTAGTGATTACTTTAAAAAAAAAAAAAAAAGCAATCCTGGGGCACCTGGGCAGCTCAGTTGATTAAGCATCTGACTTCAGCTCAGGTCATGATCTTGGGCTCCTGGGATTGAGCCTCGTGTAGGGCTCCCAGCTCACTCAGGAGTCTGCCTCTCCCTCTCCCTCGGCCCCTCCCCCGCTCACACTCTCTCTCAAATAAATAAATATAACCTTAAAAAAAAAAAAGAGCAATCCTTAAAAAAAGAAAAAAAAAGAGAGAGAGAGACAATCTTGCAGGCTGGATTTGGCTGATGGGCTATCCATGTGTGTTCCTTACAAGCTCCAGGTGAGGTTCTATACATTACAAACCGGGACAGAGTAGTTTCCGAGAAGTGCCGTGAGGACAACGTTATGAGGGATGGAGGAAGACCAAGAAGTCTGGGTGAGCGAGGTAGGTCACGGACAGTTTTCCCAAGGAAGCGATCCTCACATAACTGGTGTGGGTTGCCAGGAAGGAAATAAGGAAATAAAGGTGGGGTAGAAGAGGAAAGAGTATGCCTGGAGGGGGTTACTGCATCTGCAATGTGTGGAGGTGGAACGTGGCATGGCAGCAAGTCCTGGGTGCCAGGGGTGCTCCAGTGTGCAAGGGAATAGTGTAGGTTACAGTGGAGGCCAGGCAGCAGAGGGCCTTATGGTTGTTGTTTTTTTTTTTTTTTTTTTTAGTTTTTAATTCCAGCATAGTTAACATACACTATTATATTAGTTTCAGGTGTACAATAGAGTGATTCAATACTAGTCGCAGAAGGCCTCTTAAGGAATGAAGCTAGGCTTCTCTGGGGGACAGTGGGAGCCAGGGTGGTTTTTGAGCATGAATCAGAGTCATACTTAAGGAGATGGTGGTGTCAGGTGGACAGGCTAGACCTAGGTAGGAAGCTAGTTGCAGGTGTCCTGCTGCTGAGGGCTGACCGGACTCTCCCCCAGCCTGAGAGGTGTGCAGAGGGGGTGGGTACCTGCCACTCCGGAAGAGAAGGGTCATGACCAGCGCGTGAGGGGCCCGGATTTTGGCTCCATAGCTGTAGAAACGAAAGGAAACAGTTACTACAGCATCACTGCCTCACATTTTCTTTCTGGGCTCTCTGACTCCTTGTCCCCCGCTCTAGCCCTAATCCTAATGTTACCCTGGAAGGGGAGATAATGCTGGCCTTCAAGTTAGATCTGGGTTCAAATCCCAGCTCTGACACATTGGGGAGGGGGACGCGGGGGCTCAGCCTTGCTATTTAACTTCTCTGAGCCTCAGTCTGCCTAACAGCAAAAGAGGACGTCCAGCTAGAGGGCTGGTTATAATTTAAATGAAAGGCGACAATGTGTGTCAAAGGCCTCCACTGTCCCCACCCAACTGGAGTTGTTCCCTCAGTTCCACCCTGACTTTCCCAGTAGAGTCAGACTCATCTTTTTAAAACTTAAATCATATTACATCCCAACTTAAAAGCTGCCTATACTTTTCCAGTACTCAGAATAAAATCCAGTCTCCTCCCACAGCCTTGAAAGTGCTGCAGGATTTGGCTCCTGCTTGCTTCTCCTACCTCTCACACCTCTCTTCTGTTCAAGCCCCATGGCCTTCCTGGAGCTCCTCTGACCTGCCAGTTCTCCCCTGCCTCTGGGCAGGCTGTTCCCTCCGCCCAGACTGCTCCTTCTTACTCCTCATGTAGCCACCAAGTCCTCAGTCTTCCAGTCTCAGCTGGCACCTCTATGGAGGCTCCTTACCCACCAGACAAGGTGAAGGCAATATTTTCATTGCCACGGAGCTCCAAGCTTCTCTGCAGCATTTTACACTCTGGATCATTTCTGGAAAGTTCTATCTTTTGCTTGGTCAATCTTAAAGTTAACGAAGTTCCTAAAGCAGTTGCTGAGTAACATTGTACTTCCTTCTACCTGTTCAAAATGTATTTCTTTCCAACTATTATACACAAGAGGACCTCAGCTTTGTAAAAATGGATTTAAAGGGACGCCTGAGTGGCTAGGTGTTGAGCACCTGCCTTCGGCTCAGGGTGTGATCCTGGAGTCCCAGGATAGAGTCCCACATCGGGCTCCCTGCATGGAGCCTGCTTCTCCCTCTGCCTCTGTCTCTGCCTCTCTCTTCTGTATCTCTCATGAATGAATAAATAAAATCTTTTAAAAAATGGATTTTAAAAAAAGACTGGAAGGAAATATACCACAACATTGTTAGCCATGTTCCCTGAGCTATAGGAATATGGGAATTTACAATTGTCCTTTTAAAACTTTTCCATATTTCCAAAATGATCTGTAACGGTTAAGCACTGCTTTTAAAATTAAAATAATTGAGGGGCGCCTGGGTGGCTCCATAAGTTGAATGTCCAACTCTTGATTTTGGCTCAGGTATGACCTCAGGGTGGTGAGATTGAGCCCCACACTCAGCACACTCAGAGGAGAGTCCGCTTGAGATTCTCTGTCCCTCTCTCTCTGCCCCTCCCCACCTGGTGCACGCCCCACCTGGTGCATGCCTTCTCTCTAAATAAGGGCACCTGGGTGGCTCTGCTGGTTAAGCACCTGCCTTTGGCTCAGGTCGTGACTCCGGAGTCCTGGGATCCAGCCCCCAATCAGGTTTCCTGCTCCCTAGGGAGCCTCCTTCTCCCTCTGCCTTCCCCCCTGCTTGTGTATTTTCTGTCAAATAAAATCTTAAAAACAAAACAAAACAAAACAAAAACCAGCACACAGATAGGTGGCCCCAAGGTTTGAAGAGAGGCAGTCCAGAGGCAGTCTCACCACCATGCCACAGTGCGACTAGCAAGTCAACTCCAAGAAGACACATCTTTGTTCGGTTTGTTTACTGTGCATCCCCTTTTAGCACAGTAGGCTCTCAATGAAAGATAGCTGTTATGCATGAGTTTTAAAGGAGGGGGACTTCCCTCCAGTTCCCAGCCACGTGAAATGACCCCAAGACCTCTTTTCCAGCAGATCTGATGGCCAGGGTGGAATCAATTTGCCCAACAAACATCTGTAGCTTCTTTTAGTCATTGTCACTCCTCAAGCTTATGCCCCAGGAGTTCCCCTGGCCGGATGGGGGGCTTAGAGCTAGAGCCATACAGATGAGGAGTGAGAAACGGGATGGGAGCCCACAAGCAGCTTAACGGTGGGAGCAGAGACAGAGGCGCCGCTGGCCTGCTAGATGCCAGTGGCCACTTCTCCTTGTGCAAAAGGGACCGTTGAAGCCAGACACACCCAAGATCATAAAGCAGGGTGGTGGGGAAGGTAGGCCCAAACGGGGATGAAAGGGCTGGCCTGGGAGGTGGTCAAGGCAAGTGGGCCAGGTTGCAAAGCATGGAGGACCCGAAACTGCCCCACCTGGGAAGGCGCACGGAACCCCAAATCCCCAGCGCCCACTGTGCAGATGGTGGGCTCCGAGGCCTGGAGACACGCTAGGGCTGCTCAAGAACACATAGCGTGGCGACGGGCCCAGGGTCCGCTGCTCGGACCCTAGCGGGACCCAGCCCCCCGCCCCCGCGCAGCCCCACGGCCCCACTCACACTGCCCCGTTCCGGAAGCCCTTAAGCATGGCCAGCGCGGCGTGGTACCGGCGCTTGCGCAGCAGCGCATTGACTGCATGGAGCAGAGCCTGCAGCTGCGGCGGGAGGGCCATAGCTCGGGAGGCGCGAGGGGTGCAGGCGAGCAGCAGGACCAGCACTGACAGCCCGGGTTCCGGCGGCGCAGCCCCGCAGCTCCCGGCCGAGCAGCCGCGTCTCGGCGCTCACAGGCTGCGTCTGCTGTCACTCTCACGGGAGAGCCGATCAGACGGCTCACGCGGGGCCCCGGAGGCTCGCACTGTCCCGAAGAGCGATCTGATGGGAAGGGAGGGAAAGCTGGTAACCAATCACAATGGGCTCCGCCCAACGCGCTCCGAGGGAGGTCAGAATCCCGCACCGGCGTCTTGTCCGACCCGGTAACCTGTTTCCAGCGTGCTTGGAAGGAGGTTTCTTGAAAGAGGAGCTGCCCTCCCTAGAATTAGGGGAGTGACCCCGAGAGGAGCCAGGACTCATCAACACAAGACAATTCTGGTTGGGTAACCGTGATCATAGCAAACTTCTTATTAGGTCATAAATAAAATGACACCTCAAGGGCTTCCATTTATTCTTCAAGTCCAAACTCCTTGCCACAGTCCACAAGAGGGACTATAACCTGGCCTCTCCCTCCTTCTCCAGACTCATATCCTGTTACTTGCCCCCTCATTCACTCCTCTCCAGCTAAATTGGCCTCCTTGCCATTCCTTGAGCAGGCCGAGAAGGCTCCTGTCTCAGCGCCTTTGCACCTGTTTCCCCGACCGGCATGCCTGACCCCCATGGTGGGCTCCTTCTCCATCTTCAGGTTTCAGATCAAATGCTACCTCTTCAGAGAGGGGTTCCTAGATGTCCCATCTAAAGAAGCACTGCCCTCTCTTTTATTTTCTTCATATAACTTTTCACTCTTTGAAATGGTTTGTTACAGGTCCATCGTCCATTGTCCCTACCAGGCTGTAAATTCCATGACCGCAGAAACCTTGTCTGTCTTGTTTTCTGCTGTAACCCCAGCACTTAGCACATGGTGGGTGTCCAACATGTACTTGTTGAAGCAATACAGTTTGGGGTTGACATCTTCCAGAGTACTGGTGGGTGGAATTTATGTGTGTCACTATGTGCAGTTGTCATTGGATAATTGCTACACGTTGAGCTGGGGAGCGGGGGCTCTGGCTTGAGAGGGTATCCCCTAGTACTTGGGCCATGTGGTATTTATCCATGATATTATTGCCTGGGTCAGTGTCAGATGATGGTGTCAGAGGTCAGTGAAGGATTATCCTTGGTCTATTTTATCACTGAAACTGGATTCTTTCTTTCTTTCTTTCTTTCTTTCTTTCTTTCTTTCTTTCTTTCTTTCTTTAATTCTTTTTGGTAATAGTGAACTAGTTTATTCAGTTAGTCTTTCATTTGAAAATAGTGGCAATGTTACATAAAATATAAAAAATATTCTCCTTGGAGATGCCTGGGTGGCTCAGTGGTTGAGTGGCTGCCTTTGGCCCAGGGCATGATCCTGGAGTCCTGGGATCAGGTTCTGCATCCGGCTTCCTGCATGGAGCCTGCTTCTCTCTCTGCTTGTGTATCTGCCTGTCTCTGTGTGTCTTTCATGAATAAATAAAGATCTTTTTAAAAAATAAAATAAAAAATCCTCCAAAAACACTGAAACAGGGATGCCTGGGTGGCACAGCAGTTGAACGTCTGCCGTTGGCTCAGGCTGTGATCCTGGGATCTGGGATCAAGTCTCACATTGGGCTCCCTGCATGGAGCCTGCTTCTCCCTCTGCCTATGTCTCTGCCTCTCTCTCTCTCTCTTTCTGTCTCTCATGAATAAATAAATAAAATATTTAAAAAAAACACTGAAACATTTGTAGGTGGCTGTCTTCTTCTTATCTTCACATGTTTCTTCCCTCTGTACATATCTGTGTCCAAATTTCCTTTTTATATAAGGACACCAGTCATACTGGATTAGGACTCACCTATATAACTTCATTTAAATACTTCTTTAAAGGCCCAATCTCCAAATACAGTCACATTCTGAGGTACTAGGGGTTAGAATGTCAACATATGAATTCGGGGGGGGACGGGGGGGGGGACACAATTCAGGCCATAGCAACCATCACGTTTTTGCTGTCTCCTACCAATACCAATGAACAAGATGTCAGGGCCCAGCATTGCAATGTGTGTCCTCACTTCCTTTCCCTTGCAGCTGGGCATCTAGTTTAAGCTGCTCATGATTTCTCCCATCCCCATGGAGAAGTTAACTTTTCTGGGGTGGCTGGAACACTCATTGTAGAGGGGAAGTTTTCCACTTTCTCTCTGGAACACTGGAACTTCCAAACACTGGAAGCTTCCCAAACTTTCCTTCCTCCCTGCTTGGCTCCATACCTAGAATTGCCATATTTCTTATACCAGGAGTCTCTAAGCTGTGATTTGATTCAGTTCAGTGCCAACCAACTACCCCTAAGGAAATAGGACCTAGGACTGATAAGTTTGGGTGGAGGAAGAGATAGAGGTGAGGAGCAGAAAGTTCAGAGCAGGGGTTTGCCTGAATGGGGAGCCTGCTTAAGATAGGTTCCACATCCCTGAAAGCTCATTCAGTTGTTTCATCAGTCAAGGAGTCAATTAACAAGCATTTCCCAGGTTACTCTATGTCTGGCTCTGAGTTTCAAGCAGAATGGATGAAGCACCTTCCCTGCCCAGAGAGCTCCTATGGTGGGGGGATGTGAAGGAAAGGGGAATTTCCAAGAAAAGTATCACATGATAGCAGTAGTACCAGGTACTGTGAGAAACAGGAATAGCAAGGGAGGGAGGGATCCCATCCAGGCAAATCAGGGAAAGCTTTTTAGAGGAAGCACAAAGGCAAGTTTGTGTTGTTCCAAAGAGGGTGAAAGAACAGCATTTTGGTAAGAAAACAGAATTTGCAAAGGCCTGAAGAAAAGATAAAAATCAACTATGTGCATTCGGGCATGTGGATGGCTCAGTTGGTTGGGTGTCTGCTTTCTGCTTGGGTCATGATCCCAGGGTCCTGGGATCAAGCCTAGCATTTGGCTCTCTGCTCTACGGGGAGCCTGCTTCTCCCTCTCCTTCTGCCTACCACTCAGCCTACTTTTGTGCTTGCTTACTCTCTCTAATAGATAAATAAAATCTTTTAAAAAATCAACTATGTGCATATATACCTGGATATATGAAAATATACGGAAAATTGCCAAGACAAGTGTCAGTGGAATCTTTTACTGTCCAGTGCCTCCCATCACCCTCAGGACTAAACCTCAGCCCTCCCGACTGGCCTTGTCTGTCTCTCCATCCTCATCTTCCTGTACCCATACCTCACTTATCATCCTCAGTTGCTCCTTTACAGTCTTTGGCCTTCTTTCATTGAGACCTCAGGGTGTGTTTACTTGCCCAATATGATACAGCTAATAAGCTCTGCGTAGTTTCCTTTTCTCCATGTGACTCCATCTCACTTCTCAAGTCCACCTCCTCAGAGAGGCCTTCCCTGACCACCCTGTCTAAAGTAGCTTCCTTCCCTCCAGAGGGGGAAAAAATTACAGTCACAGAATATTTCTCTATTTTTTTCTTGTGTATAGTCAGTCCATCTTGCCTGCAGGACTATGACTCCATGAAAGCAAGGATTTTTGTCTTTATGTTCATGGCTATGACCCCAGTATCTAGAACAATGTCTAACACAAAATGTATGTAATAAATATTTATTTTATATTTCTAAGATTTTTTTTGAATTTTTTATAAGCTTTTATTTCAGTGATCAAAAGAATGCAGTAAATGGAATCTATACTAGGTTAACATTAGGCATGCACCTCTACCTGAAACTGCTGTTAGCTTTTGACTGGCCTAAATCTTTATAACCTATTTAGGCCCATCTTTGAATTTTTTGGACCCTGATATACAGGGTAAGTAAGCTTCTTCCTTGTGGCAGGTTAGTACTGAGAAATATGCTCACTGGCTAGATTCCTTTATATCTAAAGACCTCTAGACACTCAGGCTACCTGTACTACCTTGAGACCATACCTTATACATTAAAGTAAATCACAGCATAAGGGAAGGAGATAATCTAGAAAGTTGAGTGTATTGTATTAACATCCCATAGATTTCTTTCCAGCACTGATAGTCAAAACACTAGATAAGGCCTATAGTTAAGTACCAAATTACTTTTCTCCACCTGCTACCCTTCCTGAGAGACACAAAGATGTATCAATCTCCCCAGAAATCTGAAATGAATCCACACAAATGACAGATATTACTGTGGTCCCACTATCAAATTAGAGAAAGCAGTTCTACTATCAAAATTATAGAGGGCAGTTTATGGGACTTTGAGAGAGCATAGTCCCATATACAGTAATATGCATCTAGTAGTTTTCCCATTCATCTGTCAGTTGTTTTCACAAGATTAGCATTAAACAAACACAACTAAATACCTATATGACCCTCAAAACCCCCACACACACAAAATTGGTCTTTGTTCATTCTCAGATGACAGGATGTCCCAAGAGTGACAAAGGTGGGAGCCAATCCCCCCATAGCCTTTTCTTCAACTATCCCATCAACCGTTCTTCATTTCTTAAACTAGCTTCCTTTTCCAAAGAGGTACTGCTGAGATCAGTCAGAAATGCTTTCTGAGAAAGCTGGCTTGGATTTCTGGGTCTGTTCCAGTCGATTCAAGATGAATTGGCTTGTATCAATGAAGCGCTCAACGCAGTTCACAAAACAGGCCTCAGCCCGACTGTCCAACTTTGGCCCAGGCTTGTCCATGCACTTCTCCCAACAAAGTTCCGTCATCTGGTGCACCAGTTGCTGGAAGCGTTGCTTTTGAGTCTCCACCTCGATGAAATGCTGCAGCTGTGGATCCACCGAGCCCAAACCCGCCACGAATGAAGATGAGGAGGAATCCATCCCAGCACCGCCACACGTGCCTAGACGAACTGTGCTCCAACTCACCGACCTTCACGTATCTCCGCGACAGAACCGGAACCACAACCTATTTCTAAGATTTTATTTATTTATTTGAGAGAGAAAATGAGCATGGAAAGGGGCATGGGGAGAAGAAGTAGGCTCCCTGCTGAGCAGGAAGCCTGATGTGGGACTCCATCCCAGGACCCTGAGATCATGACTTGAGACAAAGGCAGAGGCTTAATCAACTTGAGCCACTCAGGCACCCCTTTAATAAATATTTTAAATATCAGTTAACCCTTGAATAATGGGTTTGAGCTGTGCAGGTGAATATTTTATACTATAGTGCTATAAATGTATTTTCTCTTCTGATTTTTTTTTCTTTTTTTAAGATTTACCTTATTTATTTGAGAGAGAGAGAGAGAAAGGGAGAGAAAGAGAGAGCAAACACCAAGTAGGGGAAAGGACAGAAAGGGAAGGAGAGAGAGAATCCTAAGCAGACTGCCCACTGAGGGCTGAGCCTGACTCGAGGCTTGATCTCACAACCCTGAGACTGTGACCTGAGCAGAAACCAAGAGTCAGAAGCTTAACCTACTAAGCCACCCAGGCACGCCTGGTCTTTTAAAAAAGATTTTAGATAATCTGCACCCCATGTGGTGCTCAAACTCACAACTCCGAGGTTTTTTTTTTTAAGATTTTATTTATTAATGAGAGACACACAGAGAGAGAGAGAGACAGAGAGACAGAGAGACAGAGATACAAGCAGAGGGAAAAGCAGGCTCCATGCAGGGAGCCCATCGTGGGACTCAATCCCAGGACTCTAGGATCACGCCCTGGGCCAAAGGCAGGTGCTAAACCACTGAGCCACCCAGGGATCTCCCAACTCTGAGATTAAGAGTCACATGCTCTACCGTCTAAGCCAGCCAAATGCCCCCTTCCTTATGATTTTTTTTTTTTATGATAGTCACACACAGAGAAAGAGAGAGAGGCAGAGACACAGGCAGAGGGAGAAGCAGGCTCCATGCACCGGGAGCCCGACATGGGACTCGATCCTGCATCTCCAGGATCGCACCCTGGGCCAAAGGCAGGCGCCAAACCGCTGCGCCACCCAGGGATTCCCCCTTATGATTTTCTTAATAGCATTTTCTTTTTTCTAGCTTTATTATAAGAATACAGTATATAACACATATAATACACCAAATATTTGTTAACTGACTTTATGCTATTGGTCACAGTAGGCCATTAGTAGCTACATTATGGGGGAGTCAAAAGTTATACACAGGATTTTCAATTGTGTGCAGGGTTGGCACCCAAACCCCGTGTTGTTCAAGGGTCAATTCTAATTAGGTGAGTGTGAATGTATTACTACTTGAATAATTTTTTAAAAGAACAGTTATATATTGAGAAGCTCTTGAAGGGGAGAGAGGATGAGAATCTGAGGTCACTGGATCAATGGGGATGTTAAAGGAAATGCACGGAGGAAGGAACAATGGCCTCACTCCTGTCAGAGAGGCAACAGAAAGGGGGGATTTAGGGCTTGAAGGAGGGCCCTGGGTCTCCAAAATTCCCAGGAAAGGTGGTGAGGCATACAATCTAGAAAAAGAGTAGGTTCTTCAATGGGAGACATTTGCTCAGGGCTTTCTGTGTCATAGCAAGGGCAAATAGGAAGGGGGAAAGGGTATAGTATTGGGGGAAACAGGGGTGGTATTTGGAGCAAGATGGGGAGTTCACCAGTAGCAATAGGCCTTGAGGGGGTATGTAGGTGGAAGATCTGTGAGGCAACTTATCAGGAACAATGGCTGATAGTGTTCCTCAAGGGAAAAGGACCTTTGAACAAATATTTTTTACTCTTAGGAATCATATTTATTTAGTGAATATGAGAAAATGAAAATTCTGATTTTTATGGCTATTACTTTGGATGACACTAAAAGAGGCATTTAAGAAAAAACAATGAGAACATTTAGAGTCAAATTCACGGTAGTCCAACTGTTGGATCTGGCTACATTCATAGGAGATCATGATTGATGGTACCTCTCTGGTTGCCTCTCCCCTCCACACACTCCACAACTCTTCCTTGTGGTCCAAGTGTACTTCTTTGGAACCAGCGTCACACCTTGTAATTAAATAATTTTCAGGATTGAATGTCTGTCTGCTTCCCCCATCCCTGACTCCAGGGGAAAGGAGCACTGGGCCCTGGAGCTATTATAGGACTTGGTGCATAGTAGACCCTCAAGTAGTGGTTAATGGAGCCTGAACTAGGAAGAGAGAGAGAGAGAGTGGCATGGGATGGGGGAGGGGGTGTCCCAATGAGGACTGGAGTGGGGGAGAAATCCCTGGGAGACCTGGATAGGCTCTCTATAAGGCTGTGCTGGAGGTTGCTGAGGTGGGTATTGGGGTTTAACTGACAGAATGGGCAATCCCACGAGGCAAGGATGGAGGTCCCCAAAAGGTGGAAATGGGGGGTTAAGCCACAGCCATGGGTGAAGCTCTGAGTTGGTGGGGGAGTAAGACCAGGCTGAGCTGGGAGGCACTTCCGGAGACAGGTGGCTCCCTATAGGTAGAGATGGGGTTCACTGTGGTTGCGGGCTATAAGTGTGTGATAAGGGGTGAAAATCAGTCGTGTACAGCTAAGGCAGAGGTCTTGGTTACGTGGAGGTCCTCGTGACAGAGCTGGGTGGTCCGGGTTAGGCGGGGGATACCATGCCCTGTGGAAATAAGCTCCATGTTGCAGAACTGGGGGTCTCACGTGCAGGGGCGGGGTGGCAAGCCCAGATAATATGAGGGGTCCCAAACCCAATTGGGAGGCCCTCCTGTGCGGCCGGGATGGGGGCAGTGTGCGGAACTGGGGGTTCAAGGGAGACAGGGATGGGGTGGGGGTCCACACCCCGGTGCCTGGGTTACCCAGGGGGGGCCAGGGGAGCCACGGCTGAATTTCCAGGACGAGGGGGGGCTCGGCGGCAGCTCCCGAGCGCCCCCTGGCGGCCCTGACCCCACCGCGGTTCCCACAATGCTCACGTAGCCCCGCATCAGCTCCCGAGACGGCGGCAGCTCCAAGATGGCGCAGACGATTTTCGAGGCCCTGGAGGGTGAGCGGCGGCGGGACCCGGGGAGGCGGCTGTTCCGCGTTGCGCCCCCTCCCGCCGCGTCTTCGCAGCGCCGGGCCCAGGGCGCGTGGCGGCCGCGGGGCGGAGGGCGCCAGGGCCGGAACAGCCGCGGGGCGGGAGCGGTACGGGCGGGAACAGCCGCGGGAGCCGAGGCTCGGCGGGTGGGGGGGTGCCGGGACCGGAACAGCGGCGGAGATGAGGCTCATTGGCGGGGGGCGGGGGCATCGGTCCAGAACAGCGGCGAGAGCCGAGGCCCGGCGGGGGGGGGTAGCGGGACGGGAACAGCGGGGAGAGAAGGCCCCGTGGGGGGAGCACCGGGGCAGAAGAGCCGGGGAGGCGCGGCCGGGGCCGGGGAGGGTGGCCTTGGACAGGAACAGCGTCAGCCGAGAGGGCCTGCGGGCCGGCGCGGGAGGGGTTTCCTGGAGGGAACAGCCGGGGAGGCCGAGCTGCCGGGGCCTGGGAGAGCGTCGCGAGGGAGGTCGCCCCGTGGAAGCGGCCGGCGCGGAGCCAGCGGGGACAGTGGTGCGGGGGCGGGAGGGGCTTGGCGGCCGAGGCAGCCTAGCTCGGCATCCTGACCCCGAAGAGCTTGCCTGGAGCACGCCAGCTGTGCCTCAGGCCTTGAGGTAGCCTCTCAACGTCAGCCCAGGAAAGGATAGGGCTACCGGTGTGCAAGGCCAGGACTCTGCTCACAGACCCAAACCAACAAACACTAGGCGCCTACTTTGTGCACCTTGCTGGGGTGCAGAGCTTTGTACACTCAGACCAAGAAACGATGGGTGTCAACCGTGTGCCTGGCCGGGACACAGCGCCCCCAGACCAAAACCTATAAACACTGGGCACCAACTGATTGTCCTGTGCTCTGGGGGTTCCTAGCTTGGAAGTGCACCTCAGGCACAGGGAACTGCAGGCTTTGGAGACAGCAAGCACTGAAGGCCTCCCTATGCACCTGCTGGACCTGGGTGGGTGAGGAGGAGCCTTAGTGACCTCAGGACTGTGTCCCAGGGGAGATACAGACCTGAGAATGTTCCTAGAGGGGTGTGATAAGATCAGTATACACATAATTAGGGTGCAGACTGAGAGTTGGCCGGACTAGTAGTATGTAACTGAGACCTTGAGTCCCCTGGGAGATCTCAGCCATGTCCCTTTACTTCTTGGAGGATCAGGGCTCTCACCATAAAATGGGAGTTAACCCTCCTCCCATCTGGAGAATTCCAGTCTCAGGAATACTCACTGAACTGGACCCAATTCCTGCCACACAGTCAGAGGTTGAGGGTAGTGGGTGGGGAGGGAGGCATATAGAAGCTATAGAACAAGTAACTATCAAAATTATAGAAAAGGTACACCATAAAAGAAGATTGCCTTAGCTGGCATTTAGCGCTGATATGGGTGGAGGGATGTGGAGGGCCAGGGTCAATGGTTTCCTCTGGGAGACCAACAGAGTAGGGTGAGGCCTACTTTCTCTTTAGGTCCCACGGACGTCCTCCATGTTGGAATTTTTACTACAAGAAATTGTGTTCATATATTGAATAATGAGGAAATTAAAAGAAAAATCAGTTTTTTAAAAAAATATTTTATTTATTCATGAGAGATGCACAGAGAGAGAGGGAGAGAGAGAGACAGGCAGAGGGAGAAGCAGGCTCCATGCACCAGGAGCCCGATGTGGGATTCGATCCCGGGACTCCAGGATCACGCCCTGGGCCAAAGGCAGGCGCCAAACCGCTGAGCCACCCAGGGATCCCCGAAAAATCAGTTTCTAGGTTAGTGTGATGTGTGCTGGGCTAGGGCAAAGACAGCAGAACTGTGGGGACCCACAGATGACCTGGGCAGTAGGAACTGCATTTGCAAAGCCCTGGGGGAAGAGAGGTCTTCCAAGATTCACAGAAGGTCATCTGAGTGAGGAGCTAGAGGCGAGACTTCTGAATTTTATCTTGCAATCACCGCAGAGCTGAGAAAGGGTTTTCAGCAGGGGAGCAACAACACAAAAATTTATATGTTTTATAAAGTTCACTCAGGCTGCTCTAAGAACACACTGGAGGGGGCTGGAGTGGCCGCAGGGAGATGAGTGAAATAGCTACAGTTGTCCTGCTGAGAATTGATGGTGGCCTGAGCCTGGGGACAGCTGCAGGATGGAAGACAGTGAATCTGAGAGAGGCAGGGGAGGCAGAATAGGCTAGACTTGCTGAAAGACTAGAAATGTGAAGAGGGCAGGGAAACGGGTTGGGGTGTCCCAGGGGCTGTGGCTGGGTGGACATTGGTGCCTATTCTTGTTGGTGAGGATTACTGGAAGAGGTAAAACTGCAGGGTGGGGGTGGCACACTTAGCTTGATCTCAGTTTTAGACAGGCAGCCTTTTTTAAAACAGCGTTTTACTTTTAGTGGCTTTAGGTTCACAACAAAGTTGAAAGAAAGGTACAGAGATTTCCTGAATAGCCTCTGACCTCACACACCACTAGCCTCCCCCATTATCAACATAATTCACCAGAATGGCACATTTGCTACCAAGGATGAATCTACATTGCCACATCGTAACCATTCAAAGTCCATGATTTATCTTTTTTTTTTAATTTTTTATTATTATTTATTTATGATAGTCATACAGAGAGAGAGAGAGAGGCAGAGACAAGGCAGAGACATAGGCAGAGGGAGAAGCAGGCTCCATGCACCGGGAGCCCGACGTGGGATTCGATCCCTGGTCTCCAGGATCGCGCCCTGGGCCAAAGGCAGGCGCCAAACCGCTGCGCCACCCAGGGATCCCCATGATTTATCTTAATGTCCACTCTTGGTGTTGCACATTCTATTGGACAAATCTACAATGATGTATCCATCATTACAATATCACAGAACATTTTCACGCTCTAAAAATCCTCTGTGTTCTATTTGTACCTTTCTCGCCCAAAACCCCCAACAATCACTGATCTTTTGATTATCTCCATAGTTTTGACAGGCAGTACTTTTTGAGTCAATTTTTTATTTTTAAATTTTTATTATTAAAAAAAAATTTTATTATTATTTTTTAAAGATTTTATTTATTTATTTATGAGAGACACAGAAGGGCAGAGACATAGGCAGAGGGAGAAACAGGGTCCCTGTGGGGAGCTTGATGTGGGACTTGATCCCGGGACTCCAGGATCACAACCTGAGCCAAAGGCAGATACTTAACCGCTGAGCCACCCAGGCATCCCAATTTTTTTTTTAATTCAATTGCTATCAGACTTTTCTTTTCTTTCTTTTTTTTAAAATTTTTATTTATTTATGATAGTCACAGAGAGAGAGAGAGAGAGAGAGAGAGAGACAGAGACATAGGCAGAGGGAGAAGCAGGCTCCATGCACCGGGAGCCCGACGTGGGACTCGATCCTGGGTCTCCAGGATCGCGCCCTGGGCCAAAGGCAGGCACTAAACCGCTGCGCTACCCAGGGATCCCCGGCATCCCAATTTTTTTAATTTTAAAAGCATTATTATTATTATTATTTTTGTAAATTCACATGTACCCTTTACCTAGTTTCCTGCAATGAAACATTGTGTAAAACTGTTGTATAACACAGCATACAGGGGATCCCTGGGTGGCTCAGCGGTTTAGCACCTGCCTTTGGCCCAGGGCGTGGTCCTGGAGTCCTGGGATCGAGTCCTACATCGGGCTCCTTGCATGGAGCCTGCTTCTCCCTCTGCCTGTGTCTCTGCCTCTCTCTCTCTCTCTCTCTCTCTATCATGAATAAATAAATAAATCTTTAAAAAAAATAACAGCATACAGAACAGTTCCATCAGTATTAGAGGCTGCCCTTTGATAGCCACACCCACCTCCTTCTCTCCAGTCATCCCTGATGTCTGTCAACCACTAATCTGTTCTCCAGTTCTAAAATTTTGTCATTTCAAGAATGTATGTAAATGGAATCATACAGTATATGACCTTCGAGATTGGCTCTTTTCCACTTATAATTGCCTAGAAATTCACCCAAGTTATTGTGCATGTCAGTTCATTCCTTTTTATTACTGAGTTGTACTCCGTGGTATG